GGAAGTTCAGAGATTTTTTTTTACACACATTAATACAGATCATTTAAACCATCACCCATTGTGTTCAAGATGTTTTTTTGGGTTATCAGCTCATGAGATGGCCTTTATGACTTTATTGTAATTACAGAGGGCACGTAATCACCCAGTCTGATCACTGATCACGAACAGAAAGTGATAACATCGGCAACCTTTTGCAATCGTGTGAGTAAGAGCATGTAAAATCTGTGGTGGAGGTGTCACCATGGAAATGTGCACAATGAAACTTGGTAACGTGGAGCAAATGTAGGGAAAGCCATGATCCTTTTCTACACTTGATTAAGTAGTTTTGGTGCTTAAACTCAACTAAACACAGACTGAAAACGGCAAGTGAAAGCGAAAATAAGACTTAAAACAAAAAATAATATCATAATAATAGTCTGAGACGGGACTCATACTGAAGGCTCCTGGTTGAAAATCTGCTGACTTACACCACCAATATCTTCAACCTCCAGTTGTAGTCTTTGGTTTTGCAATAATGGAGCTCCATTAAATGTTAAAATAACATCCTACCAAGCTAGGAAGTGGAAGATGATCCAACTAGCCCAGATGTTTGAAGATGATACAGTGATCATGTTTATTTAGTGGTATTATAACATCCCTGCCCTTGTTTTATACTGCAGTAGTTAATTGTTCTAGGTAAGTTAATCCACAGCTGTAAAATGAGGAAGATGTTCCATACGGTGCACATTTATGATTCACATCTAAGATAATCTAAAATGAACTTTTGCCTGGTTACTGCGGTTCATTGGTGCTGGTGTGAAAGCAGTCAATCAGCACCTTCAGTGGACACGCCTGCTGTCAAACATTCCACATCGGCATATGGTTAGTGGCACAGTTTCCTGTGACGTGACAAACTCTTTCTTTCCATGGACTTCAAATTGAGACCTACCTGTTAAATGCTGAGTTCGATTATAACTGTTGTTTTCAGTTTGAAGAGGTGGATATAAATAAATGCTTATCGTCTGCTGATGTTAGTATAAGGTTGGATGTTTTTACTGATTAAAAATGATCCAGACTGATTGTTGCGTCAAACTTCGGCCTCCTGATGAGCCAACAGCTTCCCACCCAGCGTCGTCGTCCGTCAGTTTGTGTGTTCTGTCTTATCTCAGACGCTGTGCGACCCTTGGACTTTGTTGTGTATTTGGGGAAGATGTGTTTGTGGCTTGTTGTAACTTTATCCGCTGTGTGTGTGTTCTATAAATATGTGCTTTGAGTGTTTTAATTTTCCATTTTTCAAGCTACATTAAGCCTTTTCTCTACTACATTACACAGGAGGACCCTGTACTTTTCACTTGACTCTCCTTATTTAATAATCTAGTGTCACTTTGTAAATAAAGGTCTTATGCACCAAACCATGTTATCTTGTAAAATAAGATGCCCATTTAACTACAACAGTGTTATCATTCTAGCTAAAATGAACTTCACCTTAATGAACCACAACAATATGTGCTGCTCGCACGTCAGTATATCAGTACTAATGATCAGTCTGAAAGAGACCTTTCTACCTAATGATATTGCAGATCTTTGCACTTTTCATGGATCAAATTCACATCCAAACCTCCGATCACAGCCTCACAGTCCAGATTTGATTTTTGTTAACCCTGTGAACCCCAAAACCTGCCAGCAGGTTGAAAGACATGTTATCTTTAAAACAAGATGACGCCATTTATCAGAGACGAAAACTACAGAAGCAGAGAAAAATCTTCTGATTTTCATATTTCCTATGGCCCTTGAACATATCATATGTGACGTATGATTCCTTTAGGAAAAATGCCCTAAAATTAGATTTAAATAAAGACAATTACCAGTCTGTGTATAAACCTAAAAATTCTGTTCTCCTTTTTGTCACCATGAAGCTCGTACTAACAGTCATACACACTAAATGAGTTTTCAGCTGAACCACAGGCAGTGTTCACACAGAGCAGACATGAGACAAGTATGGAAACAAATTAAAAATTAAAGTACTAAAAAAGTGTAGGTGTAGAGCCGCCGTTTTTTTCCCTCCTCCCATTATTGGTAACACCTGTTTGCACTTAGAAAGGTTTTGAACACATTGACTGAAAGCTTTTAAAAATGTCTTAAAACAAATTTTAAAAAAATCTTTTTTTCCCCTGTTCTAAATAAATAAATAAATAAATATTTATAGCATTGTAACTTTGTTGTACTGTATAAAGGACATTTGTGAGCCCACAGTGAGTATGAATTTGACAGGAGTAAGAAAACCCTGGAAATTGCTTTGGAGTTCAGAGGATTAAACACTTACGAATCACATATTTAACTTTTAAAGAGAATTAAAAAAGGGAAACATTGCAGTCGGGTTTTTTTTTAAAGCTAACCTATTTTTTACATTGTAGTAATGTTAGGTTTTACCTTGATAAATAATTGTATTCCTTTGTTTAACCTTTATTCATGGAGAATGGTCCAAAAAAACGGTAAACTCTTGGATGGGCATGCTGTGTAAACACAACAGGACAATAAATGTAACGGCAGAAATCCAACAGTCAGACAAACAAAACTAACAAATGAAGGAAAACAAATTAGAAGAGTAGAATAGAATAGAAGAGTAGAAAACCAGACATGAAGCCACCTTTATTTACAATTAGATGTACAACATTGTGGCAATAAACAAATCTGAACTGACGATGTTGAATAAAAGACAAGTCAGCCTTACAGACATCACCGAAATCTAACCTCTGAAGTTTAGAACAGACGTTTTCATGGTGATGTGAACACTTCTTCTGTTTGCAGCTGGCGTGCAGGAGCTCACGTTTGTGCACTAACAATGATTGATCCGCGCCTCGGTTTGACCGTGTGAAGGCCAGCTGTCAGTGGGCAACTTTTTTTTTCACCCCGTCCTCATATCGACCTGTTAGCCTGTGTAGCAAATGTGCCGTTACGTAATGGTTCGGTTTGACTTGCAGAGATGGACACCGCTGTCCGGCTGAAGCCATGTGAGCGAGTGAGTGGGTTTTTAGCAGCTTGGAGTTCTGCCAAACTATGAAGCCAATCTCATTTTGTGTGCAGGTTGCGTCTTTCTGCTTTTTCCTTGAGGTTTGAGGAGTCATGTCGTCTTCACAGAGGACAGGACTGTCTGAGATGATAACATTAAGCCGAAATATTAGTTTGGTGTCTGAGAGCATCTGGCCTTCACTCAGTAAACCAGGGATGCAAATCTATGAAGCAGCTCATGGTCAAGAATGCGAGTTTCTTTTTATTCCTGAACATGTGTCCCAACCTTATCCAGCTTCAGATCTTCATTTGTAATTAATTATCTATAAGTGCTTTGTTTTGACAATTTCTTCTTCTTTTTTTTTTTTTTTTTTTCGGTCAGAGACAGAATAGAGGTGACTGAGGGGACAAATTGGGGGCAAAAGTTGCATTTATATAGTTTGTGTCTTCAAAGTCATTAATTTAGTTTTATTTTTTACATTAATTATTTTTACATTCTAAAAAAAAAAGTGAAAATGTGGCAGAAATGGTGCTAGAAAAAGACATTAAATA